GAAATTTGATTAGAATTTGGATCCCGCTGGCTCCAAAGTCATTACCCTCTGTACCACTCTGCTGTCATATTATAATAAACCCTTAGCAAATATCCACAAATATCTTTTCTTGTCTCTCTTCTTTGCTAGTACTATTCCATGACTTTCACAAAGGAAAAAAAAATCATCATTAATCTCAACCCTCATTTACTATGATCTTTTGAACTATGAGGTAGTATGCCAATAAATTGAACATATGTCTTTTAAACACCCCACAAAAATGTTTCCCAAAGGGTTATCTATTTCTTGTATTAAAATAATCAGAACAGGAGAATCATGACTTTCTTTTTTAAGGCAATGACAACTTGTGAATCTGCGTAGCCACTCCGTGGAGGAATTTTGCAAATGATACTACATGGGATGCAATGACATGCTATTGTCCTACACGTGGCATATTTTCTTTCCCCCAAATGGCTGTCACTATATCTCTATTCTTCCCCCAAGTCATCTGGGACCTTGCCACTTCCCCTTTTAAGAGGTGAAGTGTAATTACTTCTTCACTTGAATCTGAGCAGGCTTGTGACTCCTTGTAACCAAAATCATGTGGCAGGAGTAACGTGTGACTTCTGAGGCTAGGTTTTAGAAGATGTTGTAGCTTCTGCCTTGGTAGCTGGAACACTTTTGTTGGAGCCCTGAGCTGCCGTGGCAGTCGGCTTACTTTTCTAAGGATACCATGCTGTGAGGAAACTCAATCTAGTCTACTTGGAGAAGCCTTGAGATAAAGAGAGAGATGCCTGGCTAGCCCTCAGTTTTCCAGTTCCAGCTGACTACAACTGCAAGAGTTTCCTCCAGCCAGAACTGCCTAGCTAGGAAGAGAGAGGTTTGAAGGTAATTCCCTGCAGAGGTCTTGGTGAGAGCAGAGTAGTGGTCTCCTGATTAGGGTGTGGGAATACTAAGAAGGTTGCTGTACATTTTCCCTCCTGCTTTTCATCCCATCGTGGCTCCCAATTTTCTTGCCTATTTCTAAACCTGGACTCCCAGCCTGCTACCCATTCTCAGTCCCTTACTCCAACACACTCATCCTTTTATAAATTCCTCTTTCATAGGTTAGCCAATTAGTTTATCTTGCTTTCAGCCAAAGATCTAACTGATACTCCTATCATTCAAGCTCATTGGAGGCCTACTGCTTTATATTATCACATATACACATAATCATCCAGTTTTGTTTCTAAGCAAAAGAATTAGTTTAGGGAACCTATGTGGCTCCCAAACATGATAAGCCTAGACATGATGTCTGGATCTCTAGCAGCCATTTTGAGACCATGAGATAACCAACATAAGGAACATGCCAAATGATCACAGGATTTCCTGATATCATTCAGTCTCTGGCCCAATGCCAGCAGCAGTCATCTCCTGGATTTCTTGTGAAAAAAAATTCTATTTATTTAGCCATTATTAGTCATCTTCTCTGTTAATTACAGAGGACACAAAATTAATTGATACATACATAGAAACTATCCCTGTACATTCCATATGAGGCATATAGGAACAAAAAGAAGAAAGAAAAAACTCAAAGAGTTCAAGGACTTAACCTAGACACTCTGGTGACAGAGTGTCTGTCTGTCTGTCTGAGGTGTGATACAGGAAATAAAGAGCAGAGGTGGGTCACTGTGATGGGTATTTTCTTTATTATTTAATGATAAGAAGCAAAACAAACAAATGAGGATAGATAAAACTAATAGAGAAGCAAGACTCAAGAAGCTTATGAGACATTTTAGCCATAGATGAAGTATGTAGAGCATATGTGTGCTGAGCTTAGATAGAAAGGGATGAAAGACCAATTATTAATACATGGGAGATGGATAATTTTGCAGTGTTAAATATTTTCTCTTTTGTACTATTCCTAGATTTATACAGATTGTTGAAAATATTATTACTATTTTGCTTGAGAAAATTTTCATTGACAGTATGTAGTTTCTACTCCTCCACACAGAATTTACAAGTATTCTGTGTGTGTGTGTGTTTTAACAAAATCACTGTAAGTTTACAAAAACTCATGTATCAAGCAAGGAAGGGTGACTGAAAAGTTTTTTCTGCAAATGCAAAATACTGGCTACCTTCTTTGTGTGTTTGTTCATTTATTTGTATTTACAAATTTAAGTATGTATTATCTAATAGGGTTTGGGTTAGGCATTAGAGAAACAGAAGTGAATAAAACTGGCTCTACCCTTCTGAAACCTAGGGAAGACTAAGGGCAAATGAACAGGCAATTATAATGAAGTATTATGGGAGTACAGGGGAGATTTTAGGTGTTAAAAGAAGACTTTTCAGAACTAATATCTTATCACGTAGCTGAAGCTATGTTAAAAAGGTAAATATAGGGAATGGGGAGTTTTCCTAGAGTTTAACCCTTTTAAGCACAATATTGTCAGAGGTTTAACTTACACCACAGTTTATCTGTTTATCTACAGGGAAGAACTTTCTTATTAGCACTATGCTTAATTTTAGTATCTTGTCATGGAACCTGAGACATAGTTTTTTTCCTTCTTTTTCTCCTGGATTTGGACAATGAACACATTTATCTTTAATATATATTTACCTCTCTTATTTTTCCTTTAAACCTGGCCATTAAAGGGAAATATGCCATCAGAAAATAAAATAAAATTACCTTTTATGGCATTGTTCATTAGAATCACACACACAAAAAATCACTGTACTTATTTATATGCAACAGAGGACGTTTTGTTTTTTACTCATTAATTAAAATAACATCTTTGTCAAAAGACCTGGTGTCTGAAGCAGGTTCTCATTCAGTCTCATTTCTTTCTTGGTCTTTCTTCCTATAGGTAGCTTTGGGGGTCAGAAGACCAGTGTTCAAATTTATGTTCATTCATTCACCTTGGGCAAGTCATGTGACCTTGGGAACTTTAGATTCCTCCTACATAAAAAGCACGTGACACTTCCCTCACAGGCTTGTTTGAAGACTAACTTAAAAAAAAAAAATCTTAAACATCTACGAATAGTTCGTAAGAATGAGAAATTCTCAATTAATTTATTCATTCAATAATTCAACAGGATGAAGTACCACTAATCCTTCAAGTATTTTCCATTTTGTAGCTTTTCCCGATTTTGTTACTCTCTTATTTTACTAAAGTATTTCATATATGTCTGTATATAAACATTATTACTTTATACTATCATCTTTTGCATGGTTCTTTCTTTCTGGATATATTATAAGCTTCAAAAAGTTGAGAACTGTTTTTTTAATAGACTTTATTTTTCAGGAGAGTTTTAAGTTTACAGCAAAATTGCGCTGAGTTCCCATATACCCTTTCTCTCCCTACCTCACAGTTTTCCCTGTTGTTAACAGATTAGCGGGTACATTTGTTAAAATTGATGAACCGGGCTTCCCTGGTAGCGCAGTGGTTGAGAGTCCGCCAGCTGATGCAGGGGACACGGGTTCGTGCCCCAGTCCGGGAAGATCCCACATGCCGCGGAGCAGCTAGGCCCATGAGCCATGGCCGCTGAGCCTGCGCGTCCGGAGCCTGTGCTCCTCAATGGGAGAGGCCACAACAGTGAGAGGCCCACGTACCGCAGAAAAACAAAACAAAACAAAACAAACAAACAAACAAAAAATTGATGAACCAATATTGACACCTTATTATTATCTAAAATCTATACTTAGCGTATATACATACCCTATACATATGTATATACATACATACTCTTTGTATGATAGAGCTCTATAGGTTTGACAAATGCATAATGCATGTTTCCACCATTACAGTATTATACTCAATAATTTTTGTTTGTTTGTTTTTGCAGCATATCTCAGTTTGGCCAGCCTCAGTCTGGCTAATACATTGTGGGCCAAGTCATCATGGTTGTTCCGTAAGATGCGTGGGACAGGTGTCCATGGAGGAAAGTGAAGGACAGTAATTAAGGGAAATAAAGCTACAGTCAGGTGAATGAAGGTGAGAATGGTCAGAAATTCAAATACCCAACTCAATTCTTTTGGGAATGGATAAATTAAATTACCACCTATGTGGTAAGAATACTCTGAGAGGAAAATAACTGATTGTTTTTTTTTTCCTAATGTGCAAAAGCAATTCAATGGAAGAAAAACTACCATTTCAACAAATGGTATGAGAGCAACTGGATAGTCATAAGCAAAAAAAAAAAAGAATTCTGACCAAGGTATGATCTCACACTTTACACAAAAATTAATTCAAAATGGATCACAAACTGAAATGTAAAATGTAAAACTATAAAACTTTTAGGAAAGACAGGAGAAAATCTTCAGGACCAAAGGTTAGGTAAAGAGTCTGTAGATGTGACACCAAAAGCAAAATCAATGAAAGGAAAAATTGAATCTCATTAAAACTTGAAATGTTTCCTCTGAGAAAGTCTTTCTCTATGAAGAAGATAAGAATACAAGCTATAGACTGAGAAAATATTTGCAAACCACATATTTGACAAAGGACTAATATGTAGAATATATAAGGAATTCTCAAAAGTCAACAATAAAAAATAAACAATGTCAAAATACAAAATAGTGACAATATCAAATGCTAGTGAGGTTGTGGAGAGGAGAAACTAGATTACTCATACATTTATGATGGGAAAGTAAAATGGTACAGCCACTCTGGAAAGCAGTTTGATAGTCTCTTAGAAAATATGCAACTACCATTTTTTAAAAAGTGAGGAATTTTTATTGCTGTTGCTATTTCATCTTTATACTGGTTCATGAAATATAGCAGAATATCCAATTGTTACAATGCTGATGCAATAAATCCATTATTATAAAAAGATACTCTTTCAATAATCTGTACCCAGATGGTAAAATGAACGAAGTTCATTTTCTAACTCTGTGAATATTTTATTTTGTTTAATATGTAAAATCTATTTCATTAGAGGATTATAATTTAGAATTCAGGCCCCTGTCCCTTGATATCAAATTAAACAACTGCATTACACACAAAAGAAAATCAGAATAGAAGAACCAATGACACACCAATTGTCCTGTAAAACCACTTTATTTTCTGTGACATAAACATCTTTCTCAAGCCATGTTACTAGAACAACCTCTTTATGGGGTTTTATAGTTTGGAGTAAATATATTTTAAAAAAACTTATCTCTATTATATAGAGTTGAAATAAAAAATGATTTATAGGCTATACTTTTCAGGAAGGAGTTACTAGACTATATTCCTGTTGAAGAAACTTTCCTATTTAAATCTATGATATGGAATGGAAAGATATGGTTAATAAGTCTTCTGATCAAAAAGCTTGAGATCATCAAAGGAATGTTTAGTCTCCTGAACAGAGAGACACCAGGATTTTTTCATAATCTCCCTTGGTTTCATCCTGTTGATAAAAAATAAAGTATACTTAATGCTACCTGAAACCATAATCAATAGAAGGTATTTTTAAATTGTAGAATAATTACTGTATTAGACTTAACAGTTGTAGAACATACATCAGTACATCTATTTTCTAGGATCTTGGATAAGAATATCACTTATTTAATTAAATAATATAATTCATATAGCAGATAACTGATATTTTAATTATTATATGAAAAGCAACAGCTTTCAAAATTCAGATTGCAAACTTCTCTGAATTGATCATGTTATATATTAGAGCCAGTATTTTCCAAGAATGAAATACCACACAGAATTAAGTACAACACAATATAATTTCGTATCACCTCTGGCTTGCTCAACCAGAGTGAAAGTTATAAGCCCATGATGTTCTCACTTTTTCTTGGTAGATTTCAGTTATCCAATATAAATGCCAAATTGAATTTAAACAGTCACTTATCTGTCATTAAGTTCAAAACCCCTTGACTTGTCTTTTTTTACTTCTTAACTTGAACATGTATTTTATATATTTCACATATGACAAATTTAAGGAAAAAGTTAGAATAAAAAGTTTCAAATCCTCTGATCAGTATTTATTGATCATAAATCATTATATAAATCATTATATCTCTCTAGTAAAATATTTTGATTGCTAAATGTATGTATGGGAAACTGTTTCCGTGACTACTGAAAAATTTGCAGAGTCTTTCATTATAGAACTCACTAGTAGATTTTACCAGTGATAGTTCAGTTTACTTTAAATTATGTATCTTTTAAAAAAATTTTTTATATTTTGGCTGTACCACATGGCATGCAGGATCTTAGTTCCCTGACCAGGGATCAAACCCGCACTCCCTGCAGTAGAAGTGCGGAGTCTTAACCACTGGACCACAGAGGAAGTCCCTGTATCTCAATATAACAAATTAATCTTACATATGAAATTTAGAGATACAATGAGTCAGCCTTTCTCTTTGAAGAAGCTGCAAAAGTATTGTCATTTGTGGGGTTAGCATTATGAAAATCACAACGTACCAGGATGGCTTGGCAGAGAGAGATGCCATACAACTTCTGATAGCATGCTTTGATGTCATTCATGTCGATTTCAGAACGGGAAACCATAATCCTGATCAGTGTCTTATGACGAGTTCCAATACCCTGTCCAAAACAAATGATGGTAAGTGTCCCTCATGTTCAGAGCATACACTTAATAAGGCAGGATATGGGTTTGAATGTGAAGCTCTTTTGCTCACCTATATAGTTTCTATGGAGAAACTATCACCACATTAAAATACACACACACACTTTACACAAGTGGTAATAAAATGACACAAACCAAACTGTGATATCAGCAGCATATATACGAGCTTTCATAACCTCCTAATTGGTCTTCTACCACCCAGTCTTTCCTCTGTCTAAACTATTCAATAATTACAAATGAAGTAAACTTTCTAAATTATAAATCTGATCTTCCCATTCATCTATTTAAAACCCTTCAATGGCCTTCTGCTGCTTTTAGGATGAAAACCAATCATTTTATCTGGGCTTACCGTGCCCTGCCTAATTCTACAACTTCTCCCACCATGCACCATCACTCTAATTATGTTTACTATCCTGAAAGAGACATGATATCTCCTCCTCCTGGACCAGTCTTGCTTTATCCCTTCTTCTCGTCCACTTCAGCTCCCCTCTGGCTATTTCCTTTTCAAATATCAGGTCTTAGTTTAGCTGACAGCAAGGCTACACTGACTTCCAAAGTCTGGGGCATAGGCCCCTCTTCTGCTCTTTTATAATACTAGGTTTTCATTGTTACGCATCTAATTACCTCACTAGATAACAGGAGGCATGGGGTCAGGGACTGTACTGCCTACTATTGATACCTAGTAGCACAATGCCTATCACTTCATAGGGACTCTTTCCTATTAATTGAATAGTTAGATCACTCTCTGAAGACTTCCTTATTTTGGAGTGGCAAAGGAAAATAAAAGACAATTTCATAACTTGTCACAATACGAGCATGGAGGTGACATCCTATATAATAAGATGCATGCTAAATGGTAAAGTTAAAGTGAAGTGGTTAAGGTATCTCAAATACATCTTAATAACACCTTCCACTTCAGTGACCTTGGAACAAAATTTAAAAACCTTAGAATGACGGATAAAGCAATGGCATGGAAGACAGAATAATAAAAAAGATAAATGAAGCTTAGAAACGGGGAGATTGTGCTACTTACAACCTTAGCAGAAGGAGGTTACTAAAATCATACGTTAAAAGAGGAAGCATATCACCCTTCCTCTGCTGACTGAAGTTTTATTTAAATCATGAGTAATCTACAAATTACATTCAAGCTCACCTTACTATCTTACCTATAAAAGAACATAACAAATCTAACAGAGAATTTTATTCTAATAAGGAAGTATACTACCTCTTGCATTGGATGGAAAAGTAATTCTTTTTAATGGAAAGATATTAAAATAAGTGTAATTTTCAAACAATATGAGGTTTTCTGTTCTTCTTTCCATACACCATAATTTTTTTTTCCCTAAGCAAATCACATATGTTGAAAGTTACCTTCATGGCCTGATGAAGCTTCTCAGCAAAGAACATTGATTTGCTTGTGGCACACTTCACTGCAAGAGAGGTATATTTTAGTTGACATATTTACCACCAAAAAAAGAAAGATGCATGTGACAGAAACAAGAATACAGAGTTTTGCAAGTAAGATTCTATTCTCCATCCCTGTTCCTTACCCCTCCTACCAATATGGGATATTTGGCTTATAAGAAGCTGTTCTCTAGATGGTGACTTTGAATATTCTGTCCTCTGACAACATCACTTTTTTCCTATTATCTTAAATCTACCCAATAGCAACTTCAGTATTTCATGCTATCCCGAGTATACTCTTCATGGAAACAGGGAAGCTAGTAGGTGTTAAAGGTCATGCTGGCATGGAAGAAATAGTTTTGCATGTTGTAATAAGAAAAAAATTTTAAGTGCAACAGGACAGTCTTAAAATATAAGGCAGCTGCCAAATATTATAAAATACTAATAGATGTGTCAGTTGGTATGATTCTCTACCTTGATACTCAAAGTGTGGTCTATGGACCAAAAGAATTGGCATCAACTAAGAGCTTGTTAGAAGTGCAGAATCCAGGCCCCACCCCAGACCTACTGAATTAGAATCTGCATTTTAACAAGATTCCCAAGGGATTCATATGCACATTAATGTTTGAGAAGCACTGCTTTAAAATGCAGGTTTCCAAACCTTGACTGGTCATCTGAATAAAATGGGAAACCTTTAAAATCCTTTTCTTCTGAAGACCTTTTCAGAAACTACCAGAGACCTACTGAATCAAATCCTTTGGACTTGCCCAAGATTACTCAATTAGCAAGTGACAGACCAGAATGTGGATCTGCATTTATTTAATTCCAAATCCTATGCTCTTAATGACCATTTTGACTTGCCTTTGTGTCATGTCCAGCCTGGTGTATTGCATGGTAGTATAAGTAGGTGCTCAGTAAGTATTGTCCACCTGCCCATCTTTTTAAAAAAGGAAATAATATCTGTTACTACTAACAAGGCCATTGTATAACTTTAGCTAAATATTTATTGCCGGTATCTTACATGTTGCCTCTATTTGAAATAAAAATTTACATCTGAGTTTTTGTTTTGTTTTGTTATATTTTATTTTGTAAATTATGGGACAGCATTGACAATGCAATTTCAAGTTAGAAAACTCTTCCCCCTCCAGGACTACATACCAATAACTGTGAGGCATTTCTCGATGTCACCTTTCAACTCCAGGTCCAGAACTTTGTTCATGTCATGCTTACTGTACTTGGAGTACTTCTGAAACACTGAATATTAAATTTAAACTAAGAGATGTACAAAACATCCTATTCTTTAACAAACTTGAGCAAGATCAGGGCAACTGAGTCAAAGTATTCCTTAGGAGGACTGAACTTCAGAAAACACATTTTAAAGCTAATTATTCAACTGAGCATATTTTGGATACATCATCTTCTCTGAGGAATGTAACTTACATGACTATTTTGGTGCTTCTGTATATTTTGGGGAAATTTTTGCAAATGTTGACATTTATTAGAAGTGGCATGTGATTGACATCCATAACACTACATCAGAGATAAGTGCCATAACAAATGGATCTTTCCTTATATAAAGATCTGTGTAGTAGATTTCTCTTAATTGTAACATTAGAAATCGGAGTGCTGTTATAAAAATAATAAACTTTAGGTAATCATCATGACCTTCCCTTTGCCTTGACTTGCAGAAGTCAAGAGGTAGATCTTGTGATCAAAAGCAAGAACTCTTTTTTTGGTTTTTGTTTCTGCAGCATCTAGATACCCTTTTCTTCACTCAGCCATGAGTTTTTTTTGTTTTTCTTCATTGTAATTTCATTTGTTCTGTTGTATGTGTATATGTTGTCAGACCTATTCCAAATATTTTAGGGAAAGGAAATAGTAAAAATAACAAACTAATGTTCTGCATGCCAAAGTCATAAAATGTGTTTCAAATACTATAAAATGGTGGTGGTACGAAGCTGGACAAGTGCACAAATAGCAAGAAGGGGTCAGGAACACTGCATCCATTTGGTATCAGAGTGACAATGATTAAGATTTCTCTCTTTTCTTTCTCTTATTTGTCCTAAAAAACCCCTGGGTCTTCTATAAACAATCCCAGGAAACATTTGTTTTATTCTTACCTCTGCGAAGATGGGAAGGGCTTCTGGTGGTAAGAATGGTGATGAACACATTAACATCTGTCCCTTTTCTTTTTTCTCCTGCTTCATATAAGGCCTGTCAAGAAACACAAAAATAAACACTTGACTATCTGCTAACTTGCTATCTGCACAAGAATGTTAGATCTCTTCAAAGATTTTGGAGGCAGCAGCTGCTTTGTGTCCAATACAATCAGAGTAGGCAATGCTAAGATCATACGTTCCTTAAAGATGGGAACCCTATTTTGTCAAGTATTTTCTACAGTATCTCTCAAGGTGCCTTGCGAACACTAGAGACTGAATATATGTTTGCAGAATAAATGTTTGTTAAATAAAATTGCTTTAAGATTGCACTCTGGGACTTCCCTGGTGGCGCAGTGGTTGGGAGTCCGCCTGCTGATGCAGGGGACACGGGTTCGTGCCCCAGTCCGGGAAGATCCCACATGCCGCGGAGCGGCTGGGTCCGT